GAGTCTTAACCTAAGCTGGCATCTCAAGATGCTGCACCCTTTTGTAGGCAGAACACCTTTCTTTCTTCCAGCCCAGGAAAGGGGCTCTGCTATTTGGGATCTTTATCTTCTGAGCTCAAAGGGGCCTTCCAACAGCAGGTCTGGAAAAACACCCTCCAGGACTCCAATGAGAACCAGAGGAAGAGAACTCAGCTGTCGGCAGCACAAGAATTTTGACTGGTTGAGTTCCAAGCCAGGTGCCTGTGACAGATGTGCCTTAGAAGGTCAGGCACATAGCAGGTTCTCAGCAAGTGTCTTCAAGCCTAATGAGAGTGCTGCCTGGGATGGAGTTCTCAGGTTTAATCATTTTATTTTATTTATTTATTTTTTTTATAGAGACGGGGTCTCACTATGTTACCCAGGCTGGTTTCAAACTCCTGGGCTCAAGCAATCCTCCGGCCTCGGCTTCCCAAAGTGCTGGGATTACAGGTGCAAGCCACTACACCCAGTCCAGGTAATCATTTCAAAGGGCAATCAAGACATGCTTACTGAATGCCAGCATGCTGAGTGCCGTAGTGCAGAGGCACAGCCCTGCACCAGCCCTCAAACCCTGGCTTGTGTACTGACCACACCAGTTCAAGGTGCAGATGCTATGACAGGAGAGCAAAGGATGTCTTCCCACAGCCAATGCCCGCCTCAGCTGGGCCTCAAAGGGTGAGGAGGCCTCAGCCCCAGGAAGTGGCAGAGACAGCATGAGCAAAGGACAAGGCCACAAAGGGCAGAGTCTGTTCAGCAAGAGCGCAGGCCAGTGAGCATCCTTTGGGGCTCGGATTAAGACAGTTCTATTGTCCAGCCTCATGGGCTCCAAGAAGCCCAAAGGCCTGAGACAGAAGCCTGTGATTCACTGAGCTGCTGAGAAAGAATCGTGCCTCCAGTGTGTGGGGAGCAGATGAGGGACAGCCCAGAAAGACAGGGAAGACACCAAGTAGGAAGTGCCACCATGTCTATCCACAGCTCAATCCTTCTAAGGTCCACAGGTTTACCATGCTATGAAGGTCAGAAGGACCCTTACTGGGAAAGGGATCTCAGAGGATAATTAGGAAAGGAGGGCAAAATGATTCAAGGAAAGGCTGAAGGGGCAGAGGTGAGGGGAGCTTTTTGGGGAACCCAGGTGATGAGCACCATTTAGAACACTATACAGTCAATGGGCTTTTATCACAGTGGGCTTTTATCACAGAATTGCCCATCCATAAACAATCTGTCTGGGTGTATGGCACCCAATTAAAATTGTGTAACGTTAGGCAATATTTCAGATATGAGAAATCTGTATCCTCAGTAGATTCCCAAGTCCTGTGTAGTATATTCTCTATGGTCTGTAAAAAAGAAGGATGGGTGCAGTGGCTCACGCCTGTAATTCCAGCACTTTGGAAGGCTGAGATGGTTGAGGTTGAGGTGATTGCTTGAGGCTAGGAGTTCCAGACCAGCCTAGGCAACACAGCAATACCTCATCTCTGCAAAAAAAATTTTAAAAATTAGCTGGGCGTGGTGGTGCATGCTTGTAGTCCTAGCTACAGTATTTGGAGGCTGAGGTGGGAGAATCACTTGAGCCCAGGAGTTCAAACAGCAATGAGCTGTGCAATCCAGCCTGCGAAACAGAGTGAAACCCTACTTCTCAAAAAATTGATAAAAGATTAAACAACATGAAAGAAGAGAGCACGCTGGGGTGGGTGGAAGCCCACTGTGCTTACACACAATCCATGAGCGAACTCTCTCCTGAGGCTGAGCCACTTCAGGCCCCTGGGTAAACAAGTTCTATCAGAGACAAGAATAACTGCTCACAACTTATCTGGAGGCTCAGCCAGTCCTGTGGGGACCATGTGCCAGATAGGGGCTCCTTCTGCCGTATCAGCCTTTTCCCAGCCTCATCCACATGGACCCTCGGTGTAGGAGGAAGATTGAGGAGGTACCACACGCCTGGTCTCTGTCCTCAGTAGATTCTTTCCAAAGTTCTGTCTACTGCTGATACTGACAGATCACACAGAAACAGAGTCCTGGAAGGAGAGTGAAGGGACCCTGAGAATTCTGCTGGGTCTGAGAAGGATTTTTTTCCAGAGACTTAATCATGAGAATGCTCTGAGAGGTCCAACCCTTCATATGGAGGTAAAGGGGTCATTTGAGATGAGTGACCTAATCTGGAGGTTCCCCAAAAGGCAGACACCCAAGACAGGATGGCTGCTGGAAGGACACTGTTTAGCACCCCATATTCCACCCTTTAATAAACAGACTGGGTCTCTGCGACAAATTAAAAGCCCACTGTCTTGACCCTTCCCCCAAAAGGCAATGGGTTACTGACTGGACTTCTGCTACCTTTACTCTGGTTCAAGAAGACAATACTAGGAGTCCATAGGGTTGAGTCCTCTTTTTCTCACTTTATACAATCTGTTGGGAAGATCCAATCCACTCCCCAGCTTGGACGCCACACAGCATTGCTCTTTAGCTAGTACACTCTCCTTGGCTCCAGACCAATCTACATCTATCTACTACATGGATGTCTCACCAGCGCCCAGGTCAGCAGCTCCAAACTGAAAATCGTGACCCCTCCCCAAGCCTATTCCCCCTCCTGCACACTGTGCCTGGGGCATGGCACCACCAGTTGCCAGACACCCAATCTTGGAGCATTCCCTTTTCTTGCTTACATCCCTCAGGATGTGCTGTAATGGTCCCTCAACTGGCCCTGATCTCCAGACAGCTCTTCACCAGCCCTCCCTGGCCAGTTCTGACCAAGTCACTCACAAACCCAAGATCTTTGGTGGCTTCAGGGTAAAACTCAAACTCTTGGGCTGGCACTCAAGGCCTTTCCCAGTCTGCTGCCAGCCTAGCTCCCTCACTTCACCCCATCCGCCCAGGGCTGGTCCTCCCAACACCTGGTGGGTGGAAACCACATCCTTCATACACAATATCCCTTTGGCCAGAAGGCTCTTTCCCTCACTTGGTCTTGACACTCCTGATCAACCAAGGCTTCAAAGTGGAGTTCAGGTCTTTCTCAGAGCCCCACCCCCAGCACAGTCCAGCAGGACGCCAAGCCTCTGTGCCCACAGCAAGTTCTTTCCACCTCTAATGGGAGTGTCCCCCATCTGTTTATTCACCTGTCTCCTGGCTGCACTGTAAGCTCAAGGGCAGAGATCAAGTCATACTCAAGGGTGAATCCACAGAACACACGGTATGGTGACTCCTTGGATGAAGTGTGAATTCAATAAATGCATGTCGAAAGGACAGAGAAAATCATTGAACAATGAACTCAAGTGGGCCCCAAAACCTGAAGTTTTGTTTCTTTGACAGTACCTCCATTTGAAAGACAATGTTTGAAACAGTCACTGAAATTGCTGCTTTGACTCAAAAAGGACTTCTTTCATTTACTGAGTTATCATAACAGAAAAGATATGCTCGAACAGGTGAAACATTGAACAAAGTAAATGTTAAGTGTTTTTTTATAGCCTGTTTCATTGTCCTTATGTACTTTAAACCAGAAGCCATCTAAAGGCAAATATATCTTAATATATCTTCTGTGCTTGGTTAATCTGCCTAGAATCAAGAGCAACAATGCATGCCCAAGATCACTAGTATCTGCTGGACTGTCCTGACAGGTGTGGTCAGCGAGAACCAGCAAGGCCGACCTGCAGTGAACTTGCAGATCCTGGGTACAAAATTTATTGTTATGAAAACCCTGCCTAGATTACTAGATTACTTCTGCATCCCCAGGAGGTCACTCTTAACCCAGGTGAAAGTCACTGATTAGGTTAACATCCACCACACCAACAGAAGCAACTCGGGCTCACCCCATCCCAGGCGAGGGTGGGTGGGGTAGAGTTGGGGAAATGACTGCAATGTCGCTCTAGCCCTGTTCACAGGGAAGACAGGCTTCTAAACAGAGCACGCGCTACCTAATACGAACTTCACATAAAGGCTTTATCTCCGTGGTGAGGAGATTAGATGAGGATCAACTCTCAGAATAAAGGGGAGTGCACGCAAGCCCACACCACTGGCTAGGGACAGTAACCAAACATCTTTGTGAGATTTCTTGATCTTCTCTTATCTTGGTTGCTTTCTCCCAGTCTGTGTTCCCTAAAATGAAAAGAATTTACCCACGTGTCTTCACGATAACTGAGCAAACATTTACAGGCGCCTACCGTGTGCTGGGGGTAGAAAGTGAAGATGGGGCTGGGCGCAATGGCTCAAACCTGTAACCCCAGCACTTTGGGAGGCTGAGGTGAGAAGATTGCCTGAGTCCAGGAGTTTGAGACCAGCCTGGGCAACTTGGTGAGACCCCATCTCTACAATACACCAAAAATTAGCTGGGCATGATGGCGTGCGCCTTTAGTTCCAGCTACTTGGAAGGCTGAGGGGGAAGGATCGCCTGAGCCCAGCAGGTTGAGGCTCTGGTGGCTGTGAAGGTGCGACTGCACTCCAGCCTGGGTGACAGAGAGAGATTTCAATGGAGGGAGGGAGGGAGGGAGGGAGGGAAGGAAGGAAGGAAGGAAGGAAGGAAGGAAGGAAGGAAGAAGGTGAAGATGGAGCCCTTGCCCTCAAGTGGAGAAAACAGCAACGCACACAGGGATGGTTCTTTCTGCTGACTGCCTGGAAGTCACCTGCTGACTCTGGAGCATACCACGAAGTAAGGAACATCACCATCTAGAGCTTCTATTGGCCCCGGAAAGGCAGACAGACTCACTGTTTCTAAGAAAAAGCTGCTGCGGAAAGACAGCGACACCAGCATCACAAGCACAGTCACCAACCTCAGGCCGCCTGCAACTCCGCACAACCCAGACGGTTCTGAGACATCAGGTGGTCCTGAATGCCAACTCAGCGAGTAGTCATCCAGAAGGCCCACAGCAGCTGTCTCCCCACGCAGCCGGGCACGGTCACCCAGGAGAACCTGCGGCCAGGCCACCAGCACCCTGCGTGAAGGTCGCGACCCGGTGCAGCCCACCCCCGGCCGGTGCCAGCTTTGCCCTCCGGCCGTGCTAAGGCCCCTGCTTCAGCTCCCGGGGCACGGCCGGGCGAGCTGCCGCCCGGCACAGCGGCCACGGCCAAGGGGCACCCGCGGGACACCCGGGTGAGGAGGACGACAGGTGTCGTCCTGGGGCAGGTGGAGGGCCGAGCGTATCCGAGATTCGGCCGCAACTGTGGCCGAGTCCAGAAGAGGATGTCCTTCAGGCAGAGGCGGGAAGTGCCCCGAGGAAAGAGTGACACAGAGCGGCTCTTTCCGACGACACCTCGCCCAGGGCCGGGCCGGCGGGTGCACAGCGA